AACATTTGCATGGTCACTGTCTCCTGGACACATCCTTTGCTTTTTAATGGCCTTTGGTGTCTTATAGTATCTTTATATATCCTTAGAGATTACATGAAACAGTAAAGGTTAATGATGAGATATTAAAAAGCCTTTGTTCTTTTAAGGAGAGAGCAAGTATTGAGGATTTTCCCTCATGCATTTAATGAAGACAGAATTATTGTACTGAGGTACAAATGCATCCCTGTATATAAGATGCATTTTCTTTTTTTTTTTTTTTTTTTTTTTTTTTGAGACAGAGTTTCACTCTTGTTACCCAGGCTGGAGTGCAATGGCGCGATTTCGGCTCATCGCAACCTCCGCCTCCTGGGTTCAGGCAATTCTCCTGCCTCAGCCTCCTGAGTAGCTGGGATTACAGGCACGCGCCACCATGCCCAGCTAATTTTTTGTATTTTTAGTAGAGATGGGGTTTCACCATGTTGACCAGGATGGTCTCGATCTCTTGACCTCGTGATCCACCCGCCTGGGCCTCCCAAAGTGCTGGGATTACAGGCTTGAGCCACCGCGCCCGGCCATATAAGATGCATTTTCTTATGTGTGTACGTATGCCTATAAACAATTGGCTCAGTCACTTTTTCTGTGACTGTGTTGCTTCAATTTTATGATGATTTATGAAACCTAAGTTTACACAGAAAAGAAATTCAGGACTAAATTAAGATACTGAAGAATTACTTAAGCCCCTGAGTTTTTTTTAAAGTTCCAGTAATACTTACCAGGTTAGCTGTGTATGTGTGCACATTGTAAAATTGCCATTTAAGAGTCTGTGTGTAGCTGAAGGTGTTGATGAGTGTCCTTGAGGATGGGGATTCAGAAAGGTTCAGGACATAGTCCTTGCCCCTTTACTTTGGGTTAGCACTTAAATACTTTTAAAATGTCTTTATACGTTGCTTGGTTAAGTGTGTTTTTACATATGTGCAATGGAGATCCTGAGTTTGAACCACATACTTCAGTAAAGCAAAGGGCAGTAGTGGTCACAGTTCCCACAATCATATCCCATGTTGTCCCACTCTCTCTTTTTTAGGTTGTGACCTTTCGTTCCCCAGCAATAAACTGGTCTCTGGAGATCACTGTAAGATTGTAGTGGATGAAAAATCAGGTCAGGTGACACTGGAAGATACCAGGTGAGTACATTCTGAGCTGCTTTTGGTGTTTCTTCCAGTAGCTTAAGCCGCCTGACTTTGTGCTAGCGCACTGCGTGCCGTGGCTGAGGAGGAGAAATGCCGTGTCTTTAGTGTGTTGACAGCGACTCATTTTCATCACATAGCACAGGCCCGTGTCGCTTAGTGACAGGAATATCGTCTGAGAAATGTGTCGTTCGACAGTTCCATCATCTTGCAAACGTCATAGAGTATACTTACACAAATCTAGATGGCATGGCCTACTCCACACCTAGGCCGCAGTGTAGCCGGTTGCTCCTAGGGTGTAAACCTGTACAACGTGCTACTATACTGAATCCTATAGGCAGGTGCACCACAATGATGAAAGTATCTATCTAAACGTAGAAAAGGTACAGTAAAAATGTGGTATTTTAGTCTTATGGTACTACTATCGTATATGCAGTCTGTTGAACAAAACATTATTATTTGGGGGCATGACTGTAGTTAATTAGGCTCCCAAGGTGTGAGAAGATATATCTCCTGGTTTCCAGGATGGGACACTTGGTGACACTTGGGTGTCTGTGACCCTTCTTGAATGTATTCAAATTAAATGTGTCTCAGAAATAAGACTTAAAAGACATCATTTTTGGTTCTTGCAAGCCTATTCAAGTTTGATTTCTTTCCCCCAAATCAAAAAATCTTTTTTAAAAACTAATAAATTCTCATTCTTGTACATCCTAAGTACAGGTTGAGTATCTCATATCTGAAATGATTGAGACTAAAATGTTTAGATTTTGGATTTTTTTCAGATTTTGGAATATTTGCATTATACTTAAACGAGTTTTGAGCATATCTGATTGAAAAATCTGAAATGCTCCAGTTAGTATTTTTTTTAGTGTCTTTTTGGTGCTCAAAAAGTTACAGATTTGAGATTTCTGATTAGGGACATTCAGCTTAGGAATATTCGGCTAGAAAGTGGAAAGCTTGGCCAGGCGCAGTGGCTCACACCTGTAATCTCAGCACTTTCGGAGGCTGAGGCGAGTGGATCACGAGGTCAAGAGATCGAGACCATCCTGGCCAACATGGTGAAACCTCGTCTCTACTAAAAATACAAAAATTAGCTAGGCGTGGTGGTTTGCACCTATAGTCCCAGGTACTCGGGAGGCTGAGGCAGAAGAATCACTTGAACCCGGGAGGTGGAGGTTGCAGTGAGCAGAGATCCTGCCACTGCACTCCAGCCTGGAGACAGAGCAAGACTCTGTCTCAAAAAAAAAAAAAAAAAAAGAAAGAAAGAAAAGGAAAGTGGAAAGCTTTCCATAATCCCATTCATACATTAAAAATGAATATGTAGGTCGGGAGCAGTGGCTTACGCTTGTAATCTCAGCACTTTGGGAGGCCAAGGCGAGTGGATCACAAGGTCAGGAGTTCAAGACCAGCCTGGCCAAGATGATAAAACTCTGTCTCTACTAAAAATACAAAAAAAAATTGGCCAGGAATGGTGGTGGGCACCTATAATCCCAGCTACTCAGGAGGCTGAGGCAGAGAATTGCTCGAACTTAGGGGGCGGAGGTTACAGTGAGCCAAGATCACACCACTGCACTCCATCTTGGGCGACAGAGCAACATTCCGTCTCAAAAAAAAAAAAAAAATGCACGTGTAGGTATATTTATTTCACATAAATGCGATTACGCTATATATACTGTTGTATCATCAGCGTTTTTCTTTTTTTTTTTTTGCCCAGGCTAGAATGCAGTGGCATGATCTCACCTCACTGCAGCTTCTGCCTCCCAGGTTCCAGCGATTCTCCTGCCTCAGCCTCCCATGTAGCTGGTATTACAGGCATGCACCACTGCTCCTGGTTAGTTTTTTTGTACTTTTAGTAGAGAGGGCTTTCACTATGTTGGTCAGGCTGGTCTCGAACTCCTGACTTCAGGTGATCCACCTGCCTTGACCTCCCAAAGTGCTGGGATTACAGGCATGAACCACCGCACCTGGCCAGCTTTTTTTACTTAGTGTCTTATGGAGCGCTTCATATGTCACTGTTTTTCATTGTTTTATGATAGTTTGTTACTTCCTTTATTGATGGATATTTATTGTTTTGACTTTTTAAAAATTTTTTTTTATTTTTTATTTTTTAGTGATGAGGTGTCTCCATGTTGGTCAGGCTGGTCTTGAACTCCCGAACTCAGGTGATCTGTCCACCTCAGCCTCCCAAAGTGCTGGGATTACAGGCGTGAGCCACCGCCCGGCTATTGTTTTGACTTTTCTTATAACACTGCAGTGACTCTTCCCCAAACCCTGCCTTCATGTCTGTTTTCTTGGCCTGGTTTGTTGGACGGGAAGCCTATGTTAGAATGTGTCTATTCATTTTTTGTTTTTTATTTTTTTTGAGATGGAATCCGGGCTGGAGTGCAGTGTAATAATCTCGGCTCACTGCAACCTCCAAGCGATTGTCCCTGCCTCAGCCTCCCGAGTAGCTGGGATTACAGGCACCTACCACCACACCTGGTTAATTTTTATATATTTTTTTTTTTTTTTTTTTTTGAGACGGAGTTTCACTCATGTTACCCAGGCTGGAGTGTAATGGCGCGATCTTGGCTCACCGCAACCTCCGCCTCCTGGGTTCAGGCAATTCTCCTGCCTCAGCCTCCTGAGTAGCTGGGATTACATGCACGCGCCACCATGCCCAGCTAATTTTTTGTACTTTTAGTAGAGACGGGGTTTCACCATGTTGACCAGGATGGTCTCGATCTCTTGACCTCGTGATCCACCCGCCTCGGCCTCCCAAAGTGCTGGGATTACAGGCTTGAGCCACCGCGCCCGGCAATTTTTATATTTTTAATAGAGATGGGGTTTTGCCATCTTGGCCAGGCTGGTCTTGAACTGCTGACCTCAGGTGATCCACCCCCCTCAGTCTCCCAGAGTGTGGGATTATGGGTGTCAGATACTGCGCCTGGCTTTTTTTTTTTTTGAGACAGAGTTTCGTTCTTGTTGCCCAGGCTGGAGTGTAATGATGCAATCTCAGCTCGCTGCAACCTCCATCTCCCAGGTTCAAGCGATTCTCTTGCCTCAGCCTCCTGAGTAGCTAGGACTACAGGCATACGCCACCATACCCAGCTAATTTTTGTATTTTTAGTAGAGATGGGGTTTCACCATGTTGGGCAGGATGGTCTTGATCTCCTGACCTTATGAATCACCTGCCTTGGTCTCCGGAAGTGCTGGGATTACATATGTGAGCTACTGCACCTGGCCTTTTTTTTTTTTTTTTTGAGACAGAGTCTCACTCTGTGGCCTGGGCTGGAATGTAGTGGCATGATTTTGGCTCATTGCAATCTGTACCACCTGGGTTTGAGTGATTCTCCTGCCTAAGCCTCCCGAGTAGCTAGGATTACAGGCACATGCCGCCACGCTTACCTAATTTTTTTTTTTTTTTTTTTTTTTTAAGTAGAAATTGGGTTTTACCAAGTTGGCCAGGCTGGACTTGAACTCCTGGCCTCAGGTGATCCACCCACCTTGGCCTCCCAAAGTGCTGGGGTTACAGGTGTGAGCTCCCGCACCCTGTCAGAATGTGCCCATTTTAAATCTGCTATAAGTGGCAGGTGGTCTTCTAGCAGTATGTCGAGAGTGTGCTTTTCTCACTGCAGGATTTTTTTTAGTTGGTAAAGATTAGGCTCTATGAGATTCTTAGGCAACTAATAGTTTCAGGGGTAGAAGATTAGGAAGTAGGTTTTTTTGGGAAGAACTGATGCTTATCAGACCAAGTTCTGTATTTCTCGGCACAATGGAGTAGGCAGAGTGCTGGTCCAGGGTTGTCCCACCTGTACCTGGGCCTGGCTTCCCTGTGCTGGGTGCTTGTCCTGGGTCATCCCACCTGTACCTGGGCCTGGCTTCCCCGTGCTGGTTGCTGGTCCTGGGTTGTCCCACCTGTACCCGGGCCTGGCTTCCCTGTGCTGGGTGCTGGTCCTGGGTCATCCCACCTTTACCAGGACCTGGCTTCCCTGCTGTGGGTGCTGGTCCTAGGTCATCCCCTCTGTACCAGGG